CTCATTTCATAATGTATAAAAATATGGAATCACTATGATTTACACCTGAAACTAACAGGATATTGTTTTAATCCTTTAAGTCTTCCTGGTGCTCTCTAATGCCTTTACTACATACTGTTCCGTATGCCGTGTGTGATTAAATAGTCCCCTACCTTCTTTGGGAATGGAATATGTCAGTGTTTCCTTCTTTCTCTGTGAAGAGCCAGATAGTAAATATTTTAGGCTTTGCAAGCCATACAGTCTATGTGGCAACTACCTCAATCTTCTGTTGTAGCCCAAGAGCAGCCATAGACAATAAGTAAACAAAGAATGTGGCTGTCTTCCAATAAGATGTATTTAGTCACTGAAATTCAAATTTCATATAGTTTTCACTTATCACAAAGTATTATTCTTCCTTCGATTTTTTTCAACATTTAAAAAATGCCAAAACTATTCTCAGCTCACAGGCTGTGCAGAAACAGTGGGCTAGGTTTGGCTTACCACAGGCTTAAAAAAATGGAAAGTCAATTATTCTTATAGTATTTGGTTTTCACCTTCTTACTGCTACTCTATTTTTTTCAACACTCTCAGACAGTGAATTGTCCTATAAAAAGTAGACCCACATTTCTGGGTTTCTTAGAACCTAGGGGGTCTCCTGAAGGGCAGCCCTTAATGTTGTCCTGAGGGTGAATTCCCTCAATACAACTTTGTATCTTTGCTCCAATTTCCTTTCCCACAGTATTGCCAGGTCTTGTCGCTTCCAGAGAAGGTCATTACAACCAGCTACTACCATTCATACTAAGCTATTCATTGGAGTGGCTTTTTTTTTTTTTTTTTAAGATTTTATTTATTCATTTGACAGAGATCACAAGTAGGCAGAGAGAGGCAGGCAGAGAGAGAGAGGAGGAAGCAGGCTCCCCACGGAGCAGAGAGCCCGATGTGGGGCTCGATCCCAGGATACTGGGATCATGACCTGAGCCAAAGGCAGAGGCTTTAACCCACTGAGCCACCCAGGCGCCCTTTTTTTTTTTTTTTTTTTTTGAGTGTTGTTTAGAATAGTCAAAGAACCCAAACCAACTCATTAATAGGACATTTGTTATAAAAATTATGGAATTCCTTAATAAATCCATGTAATTCTGTGTAGCCATTAGAAAGGATGAGGTCAACAGTATAGAACAATAGTGTAATATGATCATAGTTCATGTACTTAAACTGTGTAAAAAAACTTTTATTGGGGCGCCTGGGTGGCTCAGTGGGTTAAAGCCTCTGCCTTTGGCTCAGGTCATGATCCCGGGGTCCTGGGATCGAGCCCCGCATCGGGCTCTCTGCTCAGCAGGGAGCCTGCTTCCCTTCCTCTCTCTGCCTACCTGTGATCTCTGTCTGTCAAATAAATAAATAAAATCTTTAAAAAAAAACCAACAAAACTTTTATTGATCCTGAATTAGTCCAAATAAAAAACAAGTGCTCACCACTGTCCTAGAAAAACTTCTTATTCTCCAAAGTTTTCTAGTCTTCCCATTAAATCTTTGAAGCCACATTTAATGTCAGTCTAAATATACTTACAGATTTACTGAAAGACTAAAAATGGATTTAACCACCAGGTACCAAAAGAGTTTTAGACTCTATTTTTATAATCTATCCTGAATTTTCAGGTGTACAGCTTGAAGCTGGATATCATGTTCTGTTCAGTTTCAAGCTTTTGATACAGCAAAAAGTTGAAGTGTCCCACAGTTATGTTCCACAGACTTACAGAGAGCTTTAGCATATCAAGGATAAAGGTATTCCACTCCTGAAGGCAAATCAATTATGATGAAATGAACATCCTGTTCATAAATTACAAATTCAGGGCCAAAAAACTACATCCTAAGGCCCAACCATCCGTAGAAAACCATTTGTGCATACTGAACAGAAGCTATTGGAGACGCTAAACATTTAATCCACAGACTACCTCAGGAGTCAGATCTCTACAATTTGTAGTTAAAATATCCTCACCAATTCTCGCTCCCGCAAATTCTTCATTAGAAATGACAAACAATGGGGCACCTGGGTAGCTCAGTGGGTTAAGCCGCTGCCTTTGGCTCAGGTCATGATCTCAGAGTCCTGGGATCGAGCCCCTCATCGGGCTCTCTGCTCAGCAGGGAGCCTGCTTCCTCCTCTCTCTCTGCTTGCTTGTGATCTCTCTCTGTCAAATAAATAAATAAAATCTTAAAAAAAAAAAAAAAGAAATGACAAACAAGCAACTCTCAAAGTCCGCATGCTCAAAACCCACCACTTCCCAATACTTTCCTCATTATACACCAAACTTTATAGTATTCCCAGTATATGTCCTTTACTTAAAATATTTTTAGCACTATTTGTCAGATACTATTCTACATGCTTTATATTTACCTATTAAAATTTCATAACAACCTCTGAGGTAGGTGCTATTATTATCTCCATTTCGCAGATGAGGAAACTAACATGGGATATTTAAATTTATGTACCCATTTGGCTAATCCATAGTACTCAGAGACTTGGTGAAACATGAATCTAATTGTTGCTCTAAAGTTGAGTTTTAGATGAGATTAACATTTAGGTATACTTTTTTCTTTTTTTAAAGATTTTATTTATTTATTTTACAGACAGAGATCACAAGTAGGCAGAGAGGCAGGCAGAGAGAGGGGAGGCAGGAGAAGCAGGTTCCCTGCCGAGCAGAAAGCCCTATCCCAGGACCCTGGGATCATGACCTGCGCTGAAGGCAGATGCTTTAACCCACTGAGCCACCCAGGCGCCCCACGTTTAGGTATACTTAAGTAAAAACTGATGACCCTCCATAATCTGGGTGGGCCCCATCCAGTCAGTTGAAAGCATTAAAAGAAAAAAAGATCAAGGTGTTGTCCTCCATACTCCCTATCCCCACCCCCCACCCGCAAGTAGAAGGAATTCTGCTTCTACATTGCTTTCAGTCCTGAGTTACAACATCAACTATTCCCTGGGTCTACAGTCTGCTGGCTTACACTGCAAGATTACAGACTTGCCAACCATGACAATCCCATAGAACAATTCCTTAAATCTCC